TTGAAGTACCAATACCAACGTCGTTGGCACATCCAATGCGAGGATCCCATGTTAGTGACGTTACCGGGATGCTCCCACATATCCGTGTACTAGGCCTTTTCGTTTTCCAAAATAGTCTGACAATTTCTTGTGAGGTTAAGAAACTTGAGGTATTGTTTGTTTCAGATCGGACAAACACGGAATGTCACGATTTATCGATTGATTAGTGAGCGAACGATTGAGGAAAACATATTGGTTAAAGCGATGCAAAAACGGCGACTTGGTGAAATGGCAATCGACGAAGGGGGTTTTACGCCGGAATTTTTCAAGGGTTACAATATCAGGGAACTTTTTGAAGGAGAAGCAAATGTGGCTGATATGATTGCTCCGGTTGCAGTCACGGACACCAAAGAAATTGAAAAAGTTCGTTTCGCTTATTTTCATTCCTGCAAAGATTCAGTTTTTGGTTGGCATCAAGTGAACACGCAGTGAAGGGCTAACGTAGCCTCCTTCTGCTGTTTTTTTAAATAATACACGCTAAGTGCTATTGAGCATTACTGCCTTGTTCACTCCTTGTCGACTGCCATGAGCTTTCTTTTAAGCAGTCTTCAGAAAGGAAATCGTTGGCAGACTAGCCAGCCTACGTTTGCTGGTGGCATTTGCTACCGCTCGAGTTATTTTTGAGTGCCACAGAAAGTGAGTGTGGAGTGGATTTTGACTTTGTTGACGGTTGCTTGTAAATATTTCTTCTGTCAGAGAAGTACTGAGTTGTTTTCTTCACACTGCTGATCTGAGATATTGGGCTACAAATATGGACTGTTCTGCAGGCCATGGCTAAGGTTGAGGATGTACAGGACGTTCATGCAGCACAGCGAGCGAATGCTGAGGCGGAAGCGGATATTGCCGAGTTCGCTGAGAACACTTTGAGTGCTGCCGTTGACAATGTGCAAGAAAGAGCCGATTCAAAATACATGGATTTGATACAACAGGTCTTTTTTTGCCATTTTTCATAGTCGGTCTTTAAGCTTAATTCGTTTTTAGTGCGTAATACCTGTTGTTTTTTTTGCGCTAATATGTGAAATTCTGCAGCTCAAACCAATTGAACGGTATGCGGTCAATTTTATGGAAGCGGAATACAAGCCAGAATTTGAGGAAGAAATGAAAGAAGCTGAGGTATTGTTTTTAAAAAGATTTTTTGGATTATAGCATGCGTAAGGATTCAAAATTAGGCTTTTGCCGCATGGCTGTTAAGCCCACTTCTCAGTAAAATAAGGATATAAATAGTGTTTCTTCTGGCGCAAACCGTACGTAGTTGGTGCTCACTTTTTGGTACTGTTAATTGATTAAATTCTCGGTTTGATCTGTCTCTATTTGCTTCGATCAAGCATTTTACCATGCAGTGAATCAGTCGTACTAAGACACGGCAGGGTACATAAACTCTGCAGTTCCAAGCTTGTCGCTGCGATGAGTTTTGTTTGGGACAATAAACAAAGCTTGATCGGCTAATAGTAGCAAAAATTTTATGCAGTTGTAGTTATGGTAATAATTGACACGCTACCAAAGTGGAAATGTGAAACAGCAAAATGAAAAATTAATAAAACCGATCTCCAGTGCTGCATGAGCTTTTGAAACAGCTCTACGACGCCTTATCGACAACCGGACGGCAGTGCGTCATTAAGAATCTTAGTTCCCCAAAAGATAAATGCGGGCGAAAAAGAATACCACCGCACCGGTAGCACATGTGTATTAATGTGAATTTATGAGGACTGCCGATGCTACAGTGCTTTGGTATCTGTTAGATTTGCATAGTTGCTTGTATGTCGTACTGGAGTTTAGGCCTTTAGCGGATATTGACTTGCACTATACTTAAAAATTTTGAATCAGTTCTACTTTTCATTCTGTTTTTCATTTGTGCATTTGGCAGCTTTTCCAGCAGCTTTGACTATTGCTGCATCGTCTGCTTCTCAGCCTTTTAGCCACTCTTTCGTTCAAGTGATCAAATTTTGCAGTATTCTGCCACATCTTGTGTAATGGGAAAATTTTTGCAGGCAATGTTTGCGTCAAAGAAAAACGAATGGATGAAAGCACAAGAGGACGCAATGGAAGTGGATGATGATGATGATGCTGAGCAACGTGTCGACGATGAGGATTTGTCGTTGACTTATCTTAGCGGATACGGTGTTCCGGGTTCCATGGATGA